GAGATCCTCAGAAAAAAGAAGTAGACGTTTAATGAAAAACCAGCATCGTCTGAATCAATGAACACATCTCACGGACCAGATAGAAAATATGAACATGCATAATAATTTGGTGTAAAGTGGATTGGGCAATATTTCTTTTGCTTATCTCACGCCTTTCAATCATTTTGCTTATTTTGTCTTACTCCTTTTTTCTGCTATGCATAATATTACCACAAATTGGAATAGCAAGATGGTTATCTGTGTACAATTTATTACTATTTGCACTTACCCCTTCCTTTCGCTAAAACACTCAAGAAAGGATCAATTGCTCGTTCAGAGAATTCTTCTGAGAAGCTGGTCATTCGTTCCTTCACAGTTTTGAATCCAGAGAGCACTACTATAAGGATATGCGCTAAAAACATGCTGTATATATTTCCATACCGTTTTGTATGCTGCCAGGTGAATCAAAGATGAGAAAAGTTACAATCAAATAAAACAGATTATTTAAAGTTAATATGTCACCTACTGTCTTCCCTAAATCCTCAATTCTAAGACCTTTCACCATATTCAATTCTCTTCTCTTTATAACTTTTTTTCCTCTCTCTCTAAGATTCCTGCCAAGAACTTCTTTATCTACTTTCGTTTATTCTCCTGTGATGTTCCTTCTTCTATGCTTCTAGTTGAAATCCACCCTCTCCCATTTGTTTGCTCCCTTCTCCTGTGCTTTGGTTGAGAAGTGATCTTCTGACTGCCCAGTCCTTCTGGGACAGACAGATACGTGAGTCAATCATTGTCTGAAACAGCTTGTCCATGAGTCACACCTTTCGAGCACTACAATTTGGATGGTTTTCAGAAGCTTTCTCGACCCCTTTGCTCTCTGCTTTCTTAAGCCATCAACTCCCCAAATTTCCAACTGACAGCTGCATTGACAGGACATTCTAGGGGCTCTTGTCTGCCCTGAATATTGTTCTTCATCTGATGGGTTGCAACTGAATTAAGATTGGTCACAAGTGCAGTATAATTTCCCTAGAGAAGATTGGGTAAGTTGTTAAAAAATTGACCCTTTTCCTTGTGTACCATATGATATTGTGAAGGGGAGCAGTGCTGGTCTATAGTAGCCCAACCTCAGAGAGAGTCTGGTAACACCTTTTCAGACTCCAGGGCACCTTAGCACGCTGTCAGGGACAGAGGTCACCTGCAGCAGAGAACAAAGGCATCCTGGTGAACCTGCATTGCTCTCAGGGCTGCCTTCTGCAATTTGCTCTCCAGCAACCGGAGAGTGTGGCAGAAGCAAGTTCTCTGGCTCCAGAGAAAGACGGAAAAGCTGGAGACAAGAGGCTGCAAGGATATTGTTGATGCATAAGTGACCCTGAACAGCTGGTATATTGCTGCTCCTTTCAGAGTACCTCTGAGATAGCAACAGAAACTATTCCCGAGCTGAAACTGTAAAATCAATTTGGGGAAAGGAAGGGGTTTCCCCTGTATGATGCCTCTTGTAGAGAGAGAGAAAAAAAGTGTTAAATGAGTCTCAGAGGAAAGGAATGTGAGTCTAGAAGCAGATTGTCAATAAGAGCATTAGCATGCTTTTGCAAAACATATCAGGGGATTATTCAATTGCTTCTATCGTAAAGTGTTCACTGGCTTCTCTCAGACCAACAAGAGAAACAGAACAAGTTTTTTTCTCTCCAACTGAATCATTTCTCTAAAAATGCACATGTTTTGCTTAGAAGACAGTGAGAAACAGGCAAATATGTCCAAACATTCCCAGGTCTTAAACTCTATTTTTCCCCTTTCTTGTTCTTCTCCGTGTAACTGTTGCTTGCATATACATTAGTTTAAGTAAAATCCTATTTGTGCTTCCTTGGGATAGAATCCTTTTGCTTGTGTATCATTCTAGCATCCCAAAATAATTCTATACTTCTCAGTCACTTTAAAAGAATCTACTACCACATCCTGAACATTATGGCTTTTGAAGCTACATCTTGAGTTGTACCATCGTTTTACCTCTGATTTTCTGATGAAATAGAGGAACTCAGAAGAAGAAAGTAGCCTTCATTATCTAAACAAAATCTTGACTCTTTTGAGCCCCTGTAGATGGCCCTGGTGCAGGATATATTTATTTATTTATTCAGGTTATGAAGCCGCGCATCTCACATTCATAACTCTGGCAGCTTACAATTAAAACATAAAGTGTACCAAAAATAAAAAAATACAATAGGCACACAAACAATTCAAACATTAAAAACAAAAATATACAGTACAGTCACTGAGAAACCACAGGCATTCAAGAACAGTACAGCCCTTTTATGGTCTCCACATCACTCTCTGATCCCCAGGCCAGATGGCAAAGCCAGGTCTTCAGGCCCTTCCATAAGGTCAGCAAGGTCGGGGCCAGCCTGAGCTGGGGGGGAGGGGAATGATGTTCCATAGGGAGGGTGCAGCAGCAGAAAAGGCCCTCCTCCTGGGTCCTGCCAGATGACATTCTCTAGTGGATGGAACCCACAACAGGTGTCTTCTGCCAGACCTGATGTCAGTGGAAGAGGCAGTCCCTCAAATGACATGGCTGCATGCCATGTAGGGCTTCATAGGTCATCCCCAGCACCTTGAATCGCACCCAGGAGCAAGGTGGTAACCAATGCAGCTCGTGGAGCAGAGGGGTAATGTGCGCAGATCTAGGTGTGCACATAACTGCCCACACCACTGCATTTTGCACCAACTGAAGCTTCTGAATACCCTTCAAGGGCTTATTGGGGTAGCAACGGCTCTTGTATGGGGAAGGGTCTGATGCTGAATGCACAAATGTCATGACAGTTAACCATATTATTAGGCTTAGCTATGTTTGCCAAATTCAGTGTTTTTAAACTGATAGCGTTTGCTATTCTTAGGCTGAGGTTTTGGAGAGCACTTCCCTGACAATAAGGCCCTTCAATATAGTAAGGTTCAATTTTGAGTTGACATATAGAAATTATGTCAGTAGACCTATAGCCAAAATAATTGCTTGAATTTGGTGAATTAGAATCATTATGTGTTTCTGTTTTGTTTTGTTTTTTAAATTAGGCCTTCTCAATTATAAGACACACAAAAAAAAGTTTCTGATGCCTTCGTTAATATTCATCTGGAGCTCTCACATCCTAGTTGAGTGCAAACCCTCCATGAAAATGATTAAATTGGAGACTATAATGCTTCTTGTTTGTGAAGAAACAAAGGTGTGAAAGTAATTTAGGACTCAGAAATAAAATAACTGGAATCCACTGAATGTTATCTGGAAATATTTGACTGAAGACAGGTGGATGGAGAGGGAAAATTTAGAGGATAGTTTACATACATCCACCCCAATTGCAACTGGGTAGGATTTTAAGGAATTCTACTACATTTTAGCTCCAGACCAGATTTATTAGAAGGACCCAATTCTGACAGTGTTGGTGACTTTGATGCAGACTATATCAGAATCATCATCACTTTGATATCAATATACACACTCCCATAGGCATAGAGGGTCTGCTGTGAGCAACATCTGCCAGGGCCCAGGAGACAAGCCTTCTCTGCCATGTCACCCACGTTTTGGAATATTTCATGTTTAATAATGATTTGTCTTCTTTGATTTTATTTTAATTCTGTTAAAGCTTGGAAACATATCAAAACGTCTATTGAGATGGAATAGTCACTTCCTCGTGTCTAAATTCAAAGTATAAATTTTAAAAAAAGTTACAGTTGTCATTGTTAGGTAGAATTCCAGTAATTAAGATAAAGGTTTTACCTAGAATGTTATTTCTTTTCCAGACAATGACGATATTGACAACTGATGTACCACTTAAACAATGGCAAAAAGATATGTCTAAATTCATATGGCAAGGTAAAAAAGCAAGAATCAAATACAGATTTTTACAGGAATCTAAAGAAAGAGGTGGGTTATGTCTTCCAGATTTAAAGTTATATTTTGA